CTGCTGTGGACTCCACCATTCCTGGGTTCTTTGTTCTTACTTCTTTGTACAGTAAATGTACTTCAGCAGTGAGCTCCTGTCTTTCTTTGTGAACATCAGTCTGACTTCATTGGGCTGTGGTTTGTTGGAGGTGGTGAAGGGTGTCTAGAAGTGTGCTCTGCCACAGTAGCCACTGCTTTGTGCCTGCCAGAATGATCCTAGGCTTTGTTAACTGTCCCCTGCAGCTGACCTTGGTGACCTGCAGCCATCCATCCACTGGGTTCACATTCCCAGCTGCAAAGTAGCCAGGCCTGGTTACAAGCCACACTGTTTCTTGGGGTCTGATCCCAGCCAGGCTAGCAGCAGACAGCCTTACTATTCACAGTCTTTCTCATAGCCCGCAGCAGACCATCTCAGTTTCAAGAACATGTGCAAGTGGGAGCTGGAGTTGGAAACTTGTGAAGGAAAACATTATGGGGTTCTGCAGGCCCCTGCTCAGCTAGGGTTATGTCATGCACTGGAAGGCAAAGCTGAGTGGGGCAGTACACTTCACTCTAAACATGGCCTCTGGCTTAGGGACCACCTGCACTTTTCCTCAGGAGCATCCCTGCCCCCTCATCACCAGGAGTCAGAGCTCACCCACAGCTCTTTTGTAAGGCAGCAGGCACTGGCGCCTGGTAGCCATCTCTTGATCTTCTGGCCAGACCAGGCTCTTATTACCCTGCCTCCTGGGTCAGAAGGTCAGCCAAAGGGTCACACAGACTTTTCCTTCCTGTCTCTGAGAAAACCACTCCCAGGGGACCTCTGGAGCCACAGAAAGGGTTTGGAAAGGCAGATTCCAGGCAGGCCCTTTGTCTTGCCACCAGCTTTGATCTCCCTGCCCTCCCCCATAGTGGTGGAGCCTCTAGTCCAGTTAAAGAATGGATGCTAGCCCTCATGATGGGTTGTTGGAGCAAGAGTCGAATGCACTTAGATCCCTGAGCAACATCTAGGATGCTTGCTCTTTGAAGGATGTGCTTGGCTATCCCTAGAGACAACCACATATCTAGCCTTGTGTGTGGTCAGTTTGGTAGCTTCTCTGCCCTTTTTTTTTATTGTATACCACAGTCACTGCCATGAGACTCTTTGGCCAGTGCACATGGAACATCTGTTTCCACCCAGACCAGATAGCACTGTCTTGTCTTGTGTTTTCTTTTTTGGAGACAGGGTTTCTCCTGTAGCTTTGGAGTGTCCTGGAACTCACTCTGTAGACCGGGCTGGCCTTGAACTCACAGATCCACCTGCCTCTGCCTCCCAAGTGCTGGGATTAAAGGCATACATCACCACCACCTGGCTAAGGTACCCATTTTATTTTGTACCTGCCTTGCCTACTTGAAGGAGCTGAGTGGCAAAGTAGCCTGGGTATGGAGCCAGGAGCCCTGTTGTAGAGAAACAGGTGTGTCTGGGAGGTTTAAATCCTGCTGAGTTGTGCCCTCACCTGGTGAAATGGCCAAAGCCTGACAGGGTTTGCTTTTTGTCTTTGTTTTTTAGAAACAATGTCTCCTTATGTAGCCAGGCTGTCTTGGAATTTACTATGTAGCTCTGGGTTGGCCTCAGTCTGGATTCTCCTGCCACCACCCCCTCCTCAGTGCTGAGATTACAGGTGTGCACCACCATGCCAGGTACCTTAGCAGGTTTTTTTTTATTCTATACCAAAACCTGCTGGCAAGTGTGACACTTGAAGGGTCCTGAAAGAGAACAGAACCTCTACCATTAGCCAGCTAAAGATGTGTCTTACCTATACTTGTGACAGGTGCCATCCTTTGCAGCCTTTGGAGAAAACCTAGGCTAGAGTCAGCTAAGCCTGGAGACTGGCTGAGGACAAAAGCTGGAATCTACCAGCCCTGCCCCTCCTCCCTGAGTAGAGGGTGGGAGGGTCTTTAAGGAGACTTTGATCCCTGCTGGGCTTCAGTTTGTAAAGGTGGGGGCTCGGATTACAGCGTCCCCCTCCCTGATTTAGCCAGTCCTTCTCCGCCCCTTGGTGACCCTAGTGGTCAGTTGCTCTGAGCCTCAGGGCCTCTGGCCCCTCCCCAGCCCTCCCTCCTCTTCCATTCCCAGTCCTATAGTGACCAGAGCCTGGGAGCCACCCACAGTGGTTGGGAGAGGGCCAGCCAGTACTTTGTGGACAGGTTCTGAAAGGCCCCAGAATACCTACTCACATTGCCAGAAAGGAGCATCAGCTGTGGACTCCAGCCTTTAGGGGGTGGAGGCCGAGGGAGTCACAGAACAGGGTCCTTCGAGGCAGGGGTAGCAATCCTAGGCCCGGGACCCTATAAGGTGGATGCCTGTAGGGAGTCCTGGCTCCAAGAGTGGCTGGTGGCCACACACTCCCACCCCCTGGCCCTGTGGTCCCCATGCCTGCTCCACAGCCACTCCTGCCTCTGCTCTTTGTCTTCGGGCTCATCCATCTGACCTCGGAGACCAACCTGCTGCCAGAGCCTGGAAGCCACCCTGGCATGTGCCCCAACCAGCTCAGCCCCCACCTGTGGGTGGACGCCCAGAGCACCTGTGAGCGTGAGTGCACCAGGGACCAGGTGAGCACTGGCATCTCATGGGACCCTGGGCCCACCCCAGCTCTTTCCTCAGTGGGGGGAGTAGACCCCAACCCTAGGAGTCTACTTTCCAAGGTTTCTCCATAACTCACCTGGGTGTGGAGCCATGACCTGCATACAGGGTCAAGGATACCACCCCGCCCCCACCCCCTTCTTGCCCTCACCTGTCTGAAGAATCAGAATATCTCCAATCCCTGGACTGACTCATCCTCAGCAGTTCTGTCTCTAACTTGCCTGAGCACCACTTTAAGTCATGTGGACCCAGGCCTCTGACCTACCCCTGCAGATGGTACTGCCCTGCCCTACCCTGCCCTGCCCAGGGTCCTTTCCTTCTATCCCAGACTGGGAAGGGGACAAAGAGCTCCCTAAGTGGTGTGCCCTCGGATGGCAGAGCAGCTGCTTGCACACTGCTCCATCTGCACAGCAGGGGGGCGGGGGTGGGGTGCTAATGAGGCCCTTTTGGGGGGGAGGGGGTTGAATAAGGTAACACACAGTATGGCCTTGCTGCTCATACTGTTCAGAAAGCACTGCCACCATTTTCCATAGGGAAGCAAGCTTTGGGATAGGCAGCCATTTCTCCCAGGGTAGAGAGTGCATGGGCACGGCTGGGAAGGGGTCAGGGCTCCACTAAACTGTCCCTGTCCCTCAGGACTGTTTGGCATCTGAGAAGTGCTGCACCAATGTGTGTGGGCTGCAGAGCTGTGTGGCAGCCCGCTTCCCCAGTGGTGGCCCAGCTGTACCTGAGACAGTGGCCTCCTGTGAAGGCTTCCAGTGCCCACAGCAGGGTTCTGACTGTGACATCTGGGACGGGCAGCCAGTTTGCCGCTGCCGTGACCGCTGTGAGAAAGAACCCAGCTTCACTTGCGCTTCTGACGGCCTCACCTATTACAACCGCTGCTATATGGATGCGGAGGCCTGCCTGCGGGGTCTCCACCTGCATGTTGTACCCTGCAAGCACATTCTCAGCTGGCCGCCCAGCAGCCCAGGGCCACCTGAGACAACTGCTCGACCAACCCCTGGGGCTGCACCCATGCCACCTGCCCTGTACAACAGCCCCTCACCACAGGCAGTACATGTCGGGGGAACAGCCAGCCTCCACTGTGATGTTAGCGGCCGCCCGCCACCTGCTGTGACCTGGGAGAAGCAGAGCCATCAACGGGAAAACCTGATCATGCGCCCTGACCAGATGTATGGCAACATGGTTGTCACCAGTATTGGGCAGCTAGTGCTCTACAATGCCCAGCTGGATGATGCAGGCCTGTATACCTGCACTGCACGCAATGCGGCTGGCCTGCTACGGGCTGACTTCCCCCTCTCTGTTTTGCAGCGAGCAAACACTCAGGACAGGGACCCAGGTGTCCTGGCCCTGGCTGAGTGCCAGCCTGACACACAGGCCTGCGTAGGGCCCCCCACCCCTCATCATGTCCTTTGGCGCTTTGACCCACAGCGAGGCAGCTGCATGACCTTCCCAGCCCTCAAGTGTGACGGGGCTGCCCGGGGCTTCGAGACCTATGAGGCATGCCAACAGGCCTGTGTCCGTGGCCCTGGGGACGCCTGTGCACTGCCTGCAGTCCAGGGTCCCTGTCAGGGCTGGGAGCCACGCTGGGCCTACAGCCCACTGCTGCAACAGTGCCACCCCTTCGTATACAGTGGCTGTGAAGGCAATAGCAATAACTTTGAGAGCCGGGAGAGCTGTGAAGATGCTTGCCCGGTACCACGCACGCCACCCTGTCGTGCCTGCCGCCTCAAGAGCAAGCTGGCTCTGAGCTTGTGCCGAAGTGATTTTGCCATTGTGGGTCGACTCACAGAAGTACTGGAGGAGCCCGAGGCTGCAGGTGGTATTGCTCGTGTGGCCTTAGATGACGTGCTGAAAGATGACAAGATGGGCCTCAAGTTCTTGGGCACCAAATACCTGGAGGTGACATTGAGTGGCATGGACTGGGCCTGCCCATGCCCCAATGTGACAGCTGGTGATGGGCCACTGGTCATCATGGGTGAAGTTCGTGAAGGTGTGGCCATTTTGGATGCCAACAGCTACGTTCGCGCTGCCAGTGAGAAGCGAGTCAAGAAGATTGCAGAGCTGCTTGAGAAGAAGGCTTGTGAGCTGCTCAACCGCTTCCAAGACTAACTTTATCCATAATCCCCATTCCTGCCCACCTTCCTGCTGAATAAATGTCTGTACCTGTGGTAGTCATAGCCTCTGGCTCCCTCCTAACTGCAGCCCCCTATCACCACTGGCTATTTAGTTGGAGTCCTGTGGGTAGATGGAGGTCCAGTTTCTGCCTGAGGTAGCCAAGCAGCACCAAGTCACTCTTCGGTGCCCTCCTACAGACCTACAAGTTTCTCTCCAGGGTCATAGGAAGAAAGCCGGCTCAATCCTGCTTCAGCCACCCCCCTATGCCTTCCCCCAGGTATTCCCAGCCAGCAGTGTGATATAGATGCCCCACAGTGGGCTGGAAAGGCTTTATTTCAAGGCCCACTGGACCCAGGTTCTTTGAAGCCCTGTGGCCACCAGACTAGGAGGGGCTAATTTATCCCAAGAAGTGACTCAGTGAGGGAGGCGCTGAAGTCTAGTTTGTACCATGGCAGATCCCTTGACAGAGATGCAGGCACATGGGAGGTAGGAAATAGGCTATTCTTTCCGGAAAATCAGGCACTTGTTGTTGGCCGGCATGTCCACCTGGAAAAAGGCATTGCTGGGGTGGCCCTTAGTCACAGGGAGAACGCCCAGCCCACAATGCCCTACCTACCATCCTCTCCAGGACCAAGCCACTGGCCTGGCCCAGTTCTTCCAGGAGGGCTGTGTCACGAAGGCCCCACTCTGGATTCCTGCAGTCAGGGAGGGAGGTAGAGGTTACTTGCAGAATTGAGGGCATCATACAGGCCACCTGCTCTCTGAGCCAAGCCTCCTCTCACCCAGGTCTGACCTGCATCTGAGGGTCAGGTCAAAGTCCACGTTGCTCTGGGGAGAGATCTTCCCATTGACTGCAAAGGGCTGTGGGAACAAGGAGACAGCCCATAGGCCCAAGGTCAGTTGTTCCCACGGGACTGATTTGCAGACTGGGATCCAGAATATGCAAAGAACACCCTCTTTCTGCTCCCAAGAAAGAAAAGGGCAAGGACCCAGCCTCCGGGCAACGAGAGATTGGGAAACACCTGAGGCTTCTAGGGACCTCATAAGGTAGGGCCCGTCACTCACCCCATAGGTGATCAGTACAGCCTTGGTTTTAAGCAGCTGTCCTGCTGCTTTGAAGAGCCCCTGAAGAGAAGGATGCAGGGAAAGCTGCTTGAGACTCAAGCCTCCCTATCTGCAACATGAAAGCTGTGCTCCACAGTGGTCCTCACCTCAGTGCAGTTCAGGGGGCTGATGTGGATCATATTGATACAGAGCAACAGGTCCAGCGATCGCGGCGGTATCCCGCCCCATCGCTCCCACTCCCAGGTAACGTCCAGGTACAGCGGGGCCTTCACATTGGACAACCCTTGGCCTTGAGTGGCGGCGGCAATGCTGTGGAGGGCAGCGCATGGGCGAGGGTCACCCAGCGCCATCCCCACCCCCCCCCCCACCCCCCATGGCTCGCAGGCTAAGTCCATAGGAGCGTTCAGTGGGTAGCTTTGTCGGCCCTGGAGCTGTTCGCTTCCACTTCCTCAGGCCACCACCCAGACCTGGTCCCTCCTTGTCTTCCCTTCCGCCAGCCCCGCAGCTAGCTCAGCCCCACGCCACCGCAATTGGGAGACACCACGCCGCCGCACCTGTCCAGGCAGCGCTGGTCCACGTCCGACGGCTGCCACTCGGCATGAGGGAAAGCCTGCGCAAAGTGCGCGGCATGCTGACCGGAGCCCGAGGCCACCTCGAGCACGCGAACGCCACGCTGGGCAGGATCCACATACTGGCGGAGCACGCACAGGATGGGCTCCTTGTTTCGCTCGGCAGCCGCGGCCACCATCATCGCAGCGGTACTGCCAGCCCAGCTAGGAATGTGCGCGGCGCATGACGGGAGCTGTAATTCAGCTCCTGCGCGGGGCACTACGGGAGTTGTGGTCCTACGGACGGGGACGCGGGTGGGGGTGGGGTGAGGAGGTGCGGCTGCAGGGTAACTGTCAGGAGACCGCTCAACTCCTTAATGGGTCCGCACCGGCCGGAGATGGTCCAGCGGCTGGGCTTGGCTGTAGGTATCAAGGATCGAGTAGAGGCTGTGGTTTACTAGAGTCTCTAAGCTCCAGCACCTCGTTTACGCCAGTGTTTTCAGTGTGTTTGTCACACTGAAAGTTTGTTACGTTTGCGCCACACCTTTTTATGAAGAATGTTAAGATTACAAGGTATTCAGAGATGAACAGAAAAAAAACCAAAAACAGAAAGCAACTGCGCCGCCCGGGAATCGAACCCGGGTCGCAAGAATGGGAATCTTGCATGATACCACTACACCAGCGGCGCTGTTGAGACTTCTCCTCGTCCACAGGCTATACGAACTGTGACGTACACTGGCCACTACAGGCGTATTGTGCATGTGTCTTTTCTATTGCGCTGCAGTTTTTAGTTGACAAGGGTTTGCAGGAAAGGAGAAAAGGTGGGGAACGCGAGGTTTATAGACAGCCAGGATTTAGTTCTGCTCCGTGAAAACCATGGCAGTAGCATGGAAGCTAAGAGGCAGCGGTCAGACCTTGAGGGCGTGGTCGTAATGGGTGGCGACAGAGTGGAGCTTTGGGGTCCTAGACGCAGGACTCCACGTCTAGGACAGCTGGGGCTCAGATGGGCTCTGTGTGACGCTGAGACAGCTGGCACCAGCTCGAGGTCCACGGATAGATAACAGGAAGCGGTCAATGACAAGTGAAATGAAACGCGAGGCGACGAGTGTGCAGACAAGGGTACTTACTTTGCTGGTCATCAACTGGCTCGCGGGCTCGGGTTGTCGGGGGCAACCATGTCTCAGAGTGTCTGGAATTTCTTTAAAAGAAATACCCCAGTCGTCCAGGGCCGGTCGTCAGTAGCTAATTCAAAGCTTACATGGGTTGCTTGGGGTTGTTGTTGAGATGTTGGTCCAAAGTGTGTCCAGTCAGCAGGGTGGCCAGGGGTGTGAGTGATTATGGTTGAATAATCTGGAAAGAGGTCTAAACCATTTACTTAAACTATACAAGACCCAAAAGAAGACTTCACTGATTTTTTGAAAAGATTGACCCCAGATGTAAATAAAACAGTATCAAATCCAAAAGTCAAATATTAATTGAATCCTTGGCTCTTTTTTTTTATTTAGAAACACTATTATTTATAGATCCATCCCCCTGACTCCTTGACTTTTGAAAATGCTAATTCAGAATTTTTTTTACTCCTTTTTTTTTAATTTTAGGAACATTCTTATTTATATATCCATCCCCCCTGAATCCTTGGCTTTTGAAAATGCTAACTTAGATTTTTTTTTTCTTTTGAGACAGGATTTCTCTGTGGCTTTGGAGGCTGTAGCTCTTGTTGGCCAGACTGGTCTTGAACTCACAGACATCATCTGCCTCTGCCTCCAGAGCGCTGGAATTAAAGGCGTGCAGCACTACTGCCCAACCAGAATGCTTTTAAAAGGATGATTAGGTCCTTTTTTGTTCATGGGTTGTTGGGTTTTTTGTTTGTTTGTTTGGAGACAAGGTTTCTCTGTGTTGCTTTGGAAGTTGTCCTGGAACTCACTCTGTAGACCAGGCTGGCCTTGAACTCACAGAAATCCACCTGCCTCTACCTTGGCAAGCAAGGTCAATTCAAAAGGGATTATAGGCAAGGCATTCCCAGAAACAGTGTTTCTTTAGGGATAATTCAAAAAGAAAACACCAGCCTTCCCTAGTAAGTAGAAAGTGTGGCAAAGGCCAGCACTGGACTAATGAATGCAGATTAACAAGGGACAAACAAGGTAATCCCTCGTTGGGAACCACCCTAGGGACCTCTCAAATTCAAGTCTGCCATTTTGGGTCAGCATCTGTAATAACACATTCATTAGAAGTTTTGTTGCAGAGTGGTGGTGGTAGGCACTTTTGCTTGCTCTGTACTTCCTGTTTACTCAAGTAATATTTTATCCTTCTCAGGTCTGTGATGGGGCTGAAGTCTAAATAGTTATAGTTGTGGGTTTTTTATGTGTGTGTGTGGGGGGGGTTCTTTTTTAGTTTTTAGTTTTTTGAGGAAGGGTTTCTCTGTGTAGCCCTGACTTTCCTGGAATCCACTCTGTAGACCAGGCTGGCCTTGAACTCAAGAAATCTGTCTGCTTCTGCCTCTGCCTCTGCCTCCTGAGTGATGGGATTAAAGGCATGTGCCACCACCTAGACAGTTAATAGTTTTATAGTTTTCCTTGTTACTAAATTCAGAAAATAAACTCACAAAAGTGATGTAAAGTTTATAAAAGTTGAGAGACATAAAAGCTTAAGCTGTTTATCTTAAGTTGGTAATACAATTTGTAATAGAAAGTGATTTAGGTACAAAACTTTGGACTCACCCAGATAGGATAGATAATAGAGTACTTTCTTCAAAGTTGCCAAATACAAATGGACTGGGCATTGTGAATGTTTTTCTTACCTAACAATTGTTTTTATTATATATAGTTCATTAATGTTAGAGAAAGAGCTTTGTATTGGACTAAAAGAGGGAGGTTTTGGGATAACGTTTTTTGTACACTGTGTAAAGATGTGTCTCTGTTTTACTTCACCTGCCTAAGACACCTTATGATTAGTTTAAAAAGAGCTGAACAACCAATAACTGGGCAGGAGAGGATAAGTGGGGCTTCTGGGCAGAGATAGGCACTCTGGGAAAGAATCTGAAGCTGGAGATTCACCAGTCACACATGGAGGAAGTCAGGCATAAGGTACTGAGGCAAGGTAACAAGCCACCTAGCAGAATATAGAATAATATGAACGGGTTAATTTAAGTTTTAAGAACTAGTTAGGAACAAGCCTAAGCTAAGGCCAAGTTTCATAATTAATAAAAATTCTCTGTGTCATTATTTGGAAGCTGGCAGTCCTAATAAAGGCCTGTTACAGAAGAGTCCTGAAGTTCAGCCCTGCACCTAACTCTGAGCAGCCCCTAATAGGTGGATGTGAATGTGACCCTGACTGAGCCTGCATCAGGCTCTCCCTTTCACTGCCCTAATCTCGATTACCTGGTCTACCTTTCTATAGATTCCTCGTAGGATTTTATTTGAGGTGCCAGAGGAGTGTGGTGTTAGTGTCTTCTGAATGTCCAAGATTAGGAGAGGTTGAGGATGGCCTTTTCTCTCCTCCAACACCGTTCTGAACTCCCTGTATCAAGGGAAACCCCAGGAAGAGGGCCTGTGATAGCCAGGGAGCTATGTAAACTTCAAATGGAATTCTCTAGGCACTGGCTAAGGGGAGGGGGGGCTGGATTAGGACACAGACAGGGACAAGCCTGAGATTTATCTTCCTGCTTCCCCTCCCCCCGTGAAGCTAAATGGTACCCAACAAAATGTTTAAGAGTTCTTGGCCTCTGGTTAATACCTTTCTGCAGGAGTCACTGCTCTGGGCTGGATGTCGGATGGGCCAACACTTTCCCTAAGTACTGAAGTCAGTACTTGGCACAGATGTCATCAGATGGATCAGGAGGCTTTGCTTGCAGTTGGCCTGTGAGGGCACCTAAGTCCTGGAAAGCCTGAGTGTTTGATGCTGGTCATGGTCTGGACCCTGTAGCCATGGGGAGCTTAGTTGTTGAGATCGGAAGTGTCAGCTCTTGGAGCTGATTTTGGCTTTTCCAAATGAGTTTATCTTCATTACTAAATTATCAAGGCCCAGAGCATCAGGTCCTGGATTTTGTGTTGTGTTAGGAACATAAAATACCCTGGTCCTCCCACACTCCCCTTGCTTTGGCCTTTGTCCTGGCTCCCCTCTCTGGGCCACTTCTACCTGTTTGCTATTGTCCTGGGGTACGGCTTAGAGCAGGGCTTGGGCAACACTTGAGTAAGTGTTTAGTTCCACTACACTTCTCCACTACCAGTGGCTTGTCTCGCCACGCCCTGAACTGAGCAGGATTCTGCTTCTTTGCTGGCACAGTCCCATGTGTTTATAGTTACTATCCTCAACCCCACTGAGAGTCCAATGTCACTGAGGTTTCTCCCCATGACCTTGCTGCTGCCCTTTTCCATGCCTCACTGTGCCTTCTGTAGTTACTGTAACAAATTACCCCAAAGCTTGGTGGTTGAAAACAAACCCATTTTGTTACAGTTCTGGAAATGAGAAGTCCAGCATAAAGGGTTTGGATCATTATCAATACCCTCAGCTTTGGCTTCTTGACTTTGACTCCAGCCTCTGTTTCATTATCATACCTACTCCTTGGTGACCAGATCCCTGCGTCTTTCTCTGAAAAGGGCATAGTCAGGGGATAGAGGATCCATCCAGCTCCATCTCTCTTACGGCTCTAGCTGTGATCTTCCATAACTCTCCCCCCATCAGACAGCTGGTACTCCACCAAGGCTTCAGACAGCAGGGGTCTAGTGCGCTTAAGAAGACTAGCCCCCAACAGACTGTCTGCCCCTCCAGCGTGTCCTTCCACCTCTAGGGACCACTAGATTTCCTCAACCCAGTCTCATCTGCCGGTACCCCAGCCTCAGAACAAGCCCACCTGAGAGCCGCCCTTTTTTTCTGAGAGCGCTTCTAAGGACTTCTGCACCAACCTTGGACTTCTATTTTTTTTTTCTGAGACAGGGTTTCTCTCTGGCTTTGGAGCCTGTTCTGGAGCTCGCTCTGTAGACCAGTCTAGCTTCAAACTCACAGAGATCCGCCTGCCTCTGCCTCCCGAGTGCTGGGATTAAAGGCATGCGCCACCACCGCCTGGCAACCTTGGACTTATGATGCAGCTGTTGACTAGATGTCTTGTCCTCTAGTTCGGGCCAACAATTATTTAAATAAAGACCTAGTTTCTCCATTGATGTTGTTTGAAGCTGGGCTTTAGGCTTTCAGTAGTAGTGGTTGCGGTTGCAAGTTCTTCATCGGGGACCTGTCCCCAGAGAGCTCCTGTCAGCGTTATGTATGGTGTGCCTCCGCCCAACACCAGGGCCTGTACCTCCTTTACTGTGTGTGCTTCATTCTGATCCAACTGATCCTTCCTGCCCCTGCCCTGAGTGTGGCTGTCAGTCCAGAGGAACCTGCAAAATCCTACATGAGCTCCCAGTATCCTATCCTGCCTCCCTACCGTGAATGAGTGATTAAGAGCAGCATGCTCAAGGCCATCAGATTCAGGCTACAGTGGCCTTGAAGGGACTGGCAGTTTGGTGGCTAGTGGGGGCAGGTCAGGCATTTCAGAAATAGGAATGAACAAATTTAGCTAGGAAATGGCCCTTTCTTTCCATACATATTCAGGCCTTGACTCCCTGGACAGGGGCAGGGCTTGGGGGATGGGGTGTGGTGGGGTGGGGAGGATAGGCAACCTCTTCCCATATCCCCACTTAGCCTTTGCAGCCACAGGCCTGGTATTCGATCCTGGAGATTGAAACATTCACTCCTGGATGAAGAAAGCTCTTAAGACTCAAGAAGCAAAGGAAATTTGAGACTTGTGAAGCTCGGGAAAGCCTCCTCCCCAAAGGCTGTACAATCAGGAGCCAACTGCTGCAAGAGAGGAGTCTCTGAAATAGCCTTGGGAAGGAACAAGTCCAATGACTCAGCTTTCAGGAGCTGTCACCTACACTGCGGTGGGCTTTTCAGTGACACAGCTTCAAGAGGGTCAAGTGCTCTTACATGCTCCAGTAAGTGACCTCAAGAAAGTCACTGGCTCACCAGCTAGACTTGGATGGGATTCTTTCTTTGGTCTATTGTCTGTGTCCTATGTCAGCTGTGTAGTCATTTTTCATGCCTCCCTAGTGCATGTCACACACTCAGTTGAGTCTTCCCTGGGCTGGAGAAGAGGAAGCCTTTTGTTCTCCAGGCTTGCTCTGGATAATGCAAAGCCAAAGTGCCCTGGGCTGGAAGAATCGTAACAGCTTGGCCATCTTGGGTAGAAGTCCTCTGGAGCTCCACTGGCAAACCCACATAGGTGTTTTGGGGTACCCTGGGATTGGGGTACCCTGGGATTGGGGTACCCTGGGATGGGGTGGATCAACTACCCACCCTCCCCCCTCCCCCACTGTGCTTCTAGCTTGAGTGGCCTAAGACTTGACAAAAAGACCCCCAATCCCTGGTGCCAGCAAATTGATCTTTTTCAAATACGGCCACAGTGTTCTCCAAGTCTTGGGAGACACGTTTCAAACCCTCATTCTACAGCTCTCAGCTCGACATTCATTTCATGTGGGTCATTTCCGTTGGAGGGTTCAGGCTGTTTCCACCCATGCTGGGAGTTTTCCTTCCATCGTGGTACACTGGGAAACCCTATGACTCTCCCTACAGACCTGAATGGGACCAGGTTTTAAGCTTTCCCAGCAGTTGACAAAAGGGGCCACCTCCAGGAAGGCTCAGGACATAACTTTGAGAAAGTTAGTGCATTAGGGCTGGGTACCCCCTGAGTTTTATACCCTCTGGTCTTTCTCTGGGTCTTGGTCTCTCAGGCTACCTGCAGGGAAGCCTTGATATTCCTCTTGTTCCCTGGGGAAAATCATAGAACTTCATTCTACTTAAACAAACCTTTTTTTCTTTTAGACCATGAATTGTAAGCAGATCCAAGACAACGGTGATCCCCATCAACCCAGGCTTGTCCAAGCACTTGGCTGAGGGACCTCAAATATGAGCGGAAATACTGTTGATTTCAGAGTTTGCACAGGGTCTCTAGCTCAGCGAACTATGCTAGTACACAGAAGTCCCTCCCCCACTCGAAAAGCCTCCCTCACCAGAAATACCAGACACGGACAGACAGACAGACAGACAGACAGGCAGGCAGGCAGGCAGGCAGGCAGGCAGGCAGGCAGGCAGGCAGGTAGGCAGGCAGGCAGACACACACACACACACAGACATACACGCACGCGCGCGCGCTCATATCTGAAGATGGCTTACATTCTGGCTTACTCGTTGGTGAGTGTATCCCACCTCTGGCTCAAATCTAGCGTCTTAGCCAATTTTCTAAAGGATTGAAAAGGCTACCAGGTGGGCGCGGTCCCTTTAAGGGCAGGGGGCGTGTGTGGGTCGCTCCGCCCCTCCCCGTCTGTCCTGGGTCCTTAAAGGGGCCGTGCCCCAGGGACCGCAGAGTGAAGCTGGTGGAGGGTGCCTGATCTAACCGCTGCCAGGGGCAGGCGGTACGGCGCACCATGTACACCATCACCAAGGGGCCCAGCAAGCTGGTTGCGCAGCGCCGCACAGGTGCGCAGGGCGGGCGGGCAGGCGGGACGTCCTGACCCCTGGCCCGCGGCGGCTGACGCGCCCTCCGCCCGGCCCGCAGGTCCCACACAGCAGCAGGTAGAGAGCAGACTCAGCGAACTCCTGAAATGCCGGCAGCCCGCGCCGCCGACCGCGCTTCCCGCGCGCGAGCAGTCCTCGGCACAGTATCAGGGACCCTGGCCACTGGCAAGGTGAGCGGGGCCGCCCGGCACGAGGGTGACCTTGGAGAAGGTTGCTGGGGACCACGCGTCCTGGCGGGCAGGGGGCGGGGCGCAGGCGGCTCGCGCGCTCCGGCTCGCTGGCTACTCCTGGGGCCCAGCTGGCGTGCGTGGACCCTAGTGGCCACGTGGGGCCTCGAGGGCTTCCTACCGCTCATGCCTGTCAAGGACCACAGGTACCCAATTGGGATCGAGGGACCTGGCGACCGTGGGCCGCTAACTTGAACCCTTTGGGAAGCGGTCGAGGTCAAAGTTGGGGAAAGTTGCCCAAGGCGCTGGCCCTCAAGGTCTGCAGGCCCTGTCCTTGCAGAAAAAGCGCACGTGTTCCCCTTTGGCCTTATCAGGTCCCTTGCCCTTCACTGACACCCTGGGGCACCGGAGCCCTCCTCCCCAGCCGGTGTCAGGGCCTGTCAGAGCCAACAGTTCCCTGACTTTCCAAACCAGCGGTGTGCCCAAGGCCCCAGGGAAGTTAGCCCTGGCTACTTTGGATTTCAGCTACTGTGACCTGGAAATGATCCCACTCCTTCAAGGCTGAACCTTATACTTCTTTGGCTCAATTTACTGTTTCCTGTGAAACAGGACTTTGCTCCTGATCTCTGCAGGCATGTAGGCTTTTGGGCTCAAGGCTCTGGTATAGGTGGCATGTGACCAGCTAAGGGCCCTAGGCTCTCAGTAGGAGCACAAGTTGAGGATAATCTATCTCTAAGGAGGCCAACAGTTAGACTAACCTCAGCTGGAGAGTAGGTGTGGCAGAGTCTACCCCTCAATCTCTCAGCTACTGGGCTTCAGATGCCATAGGTGGGAGACACCTGTGTGGACTGTATTTAATATTCTGGCAGAGTTGAGGGCTTCCTGCTAGAGAGGCATGTTGGCACCTCTGCTCTATTCTGGATGCTGAGGTTTTTTGTTTGTTTATTTTGTTTTGTTTTTTCTTTCTCTTTTTTCTTTTCTTTTCTTTTTTTTTTTTTTTTTGGTTTTTCGAGACAGTTTCTCTGTGGCTTTGGAGGCTGTCCTGGAACTCGCTCTGTAGACCAGGCTGGCCTCTGCCTCTGCCTCCCGAGTGCTGGGATTAAAGGCGTGTGCCATCACCGCCCCTGGATGTTGAGTTCTTGTTCAAAGGTCTATCGTGTACAGGATGAGCAGGGCCTAGGGGGCTTCCCTATGATATCAGTTTATGCCCTCATTGCCCTTCTGTCTGTGGGAGGACTCTGGTACAGGAGTGTAACCACAAAGTGGTTACCCGGACAGGGAGCCTGGAGCTGGAGTTGCCTTGTTGACCAGCCCATCTTTTACCTGGGAAAACATCCTTTTAAGTCCTCATTGTTGGGTGACAGCAAGGACAGGTTTGTGGCATCCAGGAGGAGGACAAGATAGTGACATTCTCCAGAACTCTGTAAGTTGCAAGGGACACAACACTGGCTATTTACTCTAAACAGGAAGTTAAACTGATGTGGAGTCCTTGAGTCACCCATCAGCGGCCAGTTAAAGCACCTGAAGCCTGAGGGACATTGACTTCAAGTACTTCTGGACTCTGGGAGCTGAGGAGACAGGGCAAGGTGTCCCTCCTACTTCCTCTGAGGTTGCTGGGGCGTTGTTCCTTCCTTGTCCCTGCACTAGTAACTTCCAATAGGGTTTCCACAAATACATCGACATCTAACCTTGCATCTTTTCAAGGCCACCCTTCAAATTCGCCTGTGTCCACCACCTTCCCTGTTTTGTTTTTCCTGGAGCTTTCCTCGGCTACCATCTCTCTCTGGCCAGCTCTAGGAGGAGGGAACATGGGAGGCACTGGTCATCCTCCTGCTGCTCCAATCTTCCAGCTCACTGCATAGTTGGGTATGGGTGCTGCCATGATGATGGTCATATGGTGTCTGTGACAGTCTTTCTCCTGGCAAGAGACAGATGGGAGAGACTCAAGATGAGACCATATGACTATGATTACCTGCCCCCCAGAAGCAGATGGAGGAATGTTCAGGGACTACTAGGCGGAAGAGTTGTGAGCATTGGGGTCAGAATAATGCTAAATCTTGGATTGACCCCCTTCCTTGTGTGACACAGGCAGGAAGTTTCTCTTCCCAGTCTGAAAAATGGATGACCAGTCACTTTGAGGGGGTAGGAGAGTACACGAGAGGAGGTCTGTGGGGCACTATGACCTGGCACTGTGGTCACTGTCTCCAGGAGTGGGTACAGTGCACTCTGGGACTGGTGCCCTTTCCCCTACAGAGGCTTGTCTTACATAACCATGGCCTCCAAGCAGGGGCGGGGCGGGGCTTAGCTTTGGGTCTGTAGCCCTTGCCCTCTGGGGCAGGGCCACCACCTTGATCTATTACTATTCACAGCCCCTGGCTGGGATTTCCATCTGTTAAGAATCAGAGTAAGGGGACTGGAGAGGTGGCTCAGCAGTTAAGAGCACTGACTGCTCTTCCAGAGGACCTGAGTTCGATTCTCAGTACCCACATGGCAGCTCACAACTGTCTCATACTCCTGTTTCAAGGGATCTGATGCCCTCATACAGACATTTATGTAGGCAAAACACCAATGTATAAAAAAAATAAAAATAAATTATTAAAAAATAAAAAGAATCGCCGGGCGTTGGTGGCGCACGCCTTTAATCCCAGCACTCGGGAGGCAGAGGCAGGCGGATCTCTGTGAGTTCGAGACCAGCCTGGTCTACAAGAGCTACTTCCAGGACAGCCTCCAAAGCCACAGAGAAACCCTGCCTCGAAAAACCAAAAAAAAAAAAAAAAAAAAAGAATCAGAGTAAGCCCCAGGTAGGCATGATAGTACACACCTACCTGTATCTTGGTACTTAGGATGATTTCTGGAGTCTATACCCTGCTTCAACAAAACAAAAAATATACATGTCTAGCCCTCAAGTTTTCATCATTTGAACCCTTTTGGGGTGTAGGTGTTTGCAAGCAAAGGGGGGGTTTCCATTAAGAATGCCTTCATGCCCTCTGGTTTACCAAAACCTCAGGTACCCAATGGGTCTGGGAGGAGTCCTGTCTCCTTGTGGTCCCTACCTGCACATCTAAGATTTTCTATAACCACCAGATCCTGCCAGCCCTACTGGCAGGACCCTGTGCCCCTCAAGACCCTCCTCTTTATTTTAGTGCCCCTCTCACCTGAGGAGGAACCCAGAGCGGCGTGGGCCACCTGAGCCCAGGAAGGCGAGCAGGCCTACCGGGACCGCGAGTGCCTGGCGGAGTGGCAGGTGCAGCCCAGGACTCCGGCTCCCACCTCCTACTGTAGGTGCGGCCCTATTCCCTCCATGGCCCCACCCCAGGCTTCATGAGCACAGGGCTTGGCCAGTTGCCACCAGCCAGTCAACTGGGATGGCACATTCTTGCCCTGCCCTGGGCCTGCTTGGCTGGGAGGGGCTCAACCACTCCTCACCCCTGAATATAGAATGCAGCACAGGGCCATGGTGGGGGCATCTCATTCAAATTGCCCCCTTTTTCTTGCCTTGAGGAGTGGACCCTCCCCAGCATTCTGTGCTCATCTCCCTGGGGCCTGGGACCAGCCAGGGAGAGGGAAGGGCAAATCCCGATCCATCCTTGTGTGGTTTGTTTGCCAACAGTGGGGTTGTCCATTGAGGTTACTGGGTCTGTGGGGGCATCTCTAGAATGAAGGGGTGTCTGTACCCGGTGGGTGGGGATGGACTAGAGTTCTGAGAAGGCAGAGGTTAAAACCAGGCTCCTGGAAGCCTGCCTGGCTGGGAGTGCAGAGGAGCACTCTGTGGGTGAGGAGTTAGAGGAGCACCCTGTGGGTGAGGAGTTAGGAGTGCAGAGGAGCACTCTGTGGGTGAGGAGTTAGAGGAGCACTCTGTGGGTAAGGAGTTAGAGGAGCACCCTGTGGGTGAGGAGTTAGGAGTGCAGAGGAGCACTCTGTGGGTGAGGAGTTAGAGGAGCACTCTGTGGGTGAGGAGTTAGGAGTGCAGAGGAGCACCCTGTGGGTGAGGAGTTAGGAGTGCAGAGGAGCACTCTGTGGATGAGGAGTTAGAGGAGCACCCTGTAGGTGAAGAGTTAGAGGAGCACTCTGTGGGTGAGGAGTTAGAGGAGCACCCTGTGGGTGAGGAGTTAGGAGTGCAGAGGAGCACTCTGTGGGTGAGGAGTTAGAGAATCACCCTGTGGGTGAGGAGTTAGGAGTGCAGAGGAGCACTCTGTGGGTGAGGAGTTAGAGGAGCACCCTGTGGGTGAGGAGTTAGGAGTGCAGAGGAGCACTCTGTGGGTGAGGAGTTAGAGGAGCACCCTGTGGGTGAAGAGTTAGAGGAGCACTCTGTGGGTGAGGAGTTAGAGGAGCACTCTGTGGGTGAGGAGTTAGAGGAGCACCCTGTGGGTGAGGAGTTAGAGGAGCACCCTGTGGGTGAGGAGTTAGGAGTGCAGAGGAGCACTCTGTGGGTGAGGAGTTAGAGGAGCACCCTGTGGGTGAGGAGTTAGGAGTGCAGAGGAGCACTCTGTGGGTGAGGAGTTAGAGGAGCACCCTGTGGGTGAGGAGTTAGGAGTGCAGAGGAGCACTCTGTGGGTGAGGAGTTAGAGGAGCACCCTGTGGGTGAGGAGTTAGGAGTGCAGAGGAGCACTCTGGGTGAGGAGTTAGAGGAGCACTCTGTGGGTGAAGAGTTAGAGGAGCACTGTGGGTGAGGAGTTAGAGGAGCACCCTGTGGGTGAGGAGTTAGGAGTGCAGAGGAGTACTCTGTGGGTGAGGAGTTAGGAGTGCAGAGGAGCACTCTGGGTGAGGAGTTAGAGGAGCACTCTGTGGGTGAGGAGTTAGGAGTGCAGAGGTGGAGTTCTCTGTGCTGCCCTGCAAAGGTCTGGTAGGAGAGCTGGGGCTCTTTCTGACGTGCAGTCACCCAACCTTCCCTGGCCCCAGGGGCTACAGGTATGAACTGAGCTGGAGAGAGCTCAGGGTCTGCAGCAGAGAGGCCTTGTCCCACAGCAGCTGAGGGCAGCTGCTCTTTGGTTAAGGAAGGATCTAGTTTGGGTCTGTGCCTGTGCAGGTGCAGTGCGTATCTGAGGCTGCTCTTGAACCCTTCAGAGTAGCTCCTGGACCTGGCTGTGCCAACTGTCTCTCTCTCCTACCCTCTCACAGTCCAGGGCCGAGGCTTGTGTTCAATCGAGTGAATGGCAGGCGGCCCCTCACCACACCCACATCCCTCGAGGGAACCCAAGAGACCTACACACTGGCCCACGAGGAGAACGTCCGATTTGTGTCCGAAGGTAGTAAAGTTCCAGGGGGTGTGTGACTCAGGCCGCAGAGGTCCAGTAGTGTGGGCCTGGCTCTGCCCTGCCCTTTTGCACTATAGCCTGATTCTTAGCAGCCCAAGGGTTAGACTGTTCTTTGACTCTCTGCCTGGTCATGTCTATTCCTTGCTGGGCTGGAGTGGGCACCGGATTCTGGGGTGGGAGGGGTATCAGGCCTGGTTCATTCTAACTGCCCTTCCCCCACAGCCTGGCAGCAGGTAGAGCGACAACTGGGTGGCGGCCCTGCCGATGAGAGTGGCCCACGGCCTGTGCAGTATGTGGAGAGCACTCCTGATCCTCGGCTGCAGAGTGAGTCTTTCCTCAAGCCCTGCATCCCTAGGAGTCCTCTGACCTTGACCTTTCCACACGGTTGTAGCCCTAGGGGGTTGGGGAGGAAAGTTTTGGGCCAGATTCCCCCCTTTTCCACTGAGTGCTACACTTGGAGTCCAGGTTAGGAGCTGTGGTCAGCTGGAGGGCAGAGATGCTGTCCAGTTTGGAAAGCCTCATGACTGCCCAGGATTCGTTCTACCCGCAGACTTTGTACCTATTGACCTGGACGAGTGGTGGGCACAACAGTTCTTGGCTAGAATCACCAACTGTTCCTAACACCTGTCCAGGAAGGAATGCTGCCATAGTGGACCCTTTGCCCGAAGAGGACCATGGTGCGCCGGTCCACCTTGGGCCTGGCTGGGTGCCGGTCACACCTGAAGTGCCAACATTTGGACTTTGCACCTACCTGTTCCCTTGGCTTGGCTGTCCCAAGCTGCCAAAGCCAGAGGCCAAACCTGTCTAACCTCAACAATCCTGCTCACTGTGCCCAGGGGCCAGCCTCAGGGACCAGCTCCTGGGGCTGGCAGAGAGGAGCCCAGGCTAATAAAGTTGAGAAACTGCCTTTTAGAGTGTCAGTGACTTGGGAAACCAGGGGATGTATGTTTGGTCCACCTGTCCACCTCTCTTTCTCAGCCTCAGACTCTAGACTCCCCCAACCCTTTGTAATACTCAGAATTGAACTCAGGACCTCAAGCATATGAGGTATAAGTTCTACCACTGACCTACATCCCTAGCCTTCTGTTCACTACTGCTACTTATTCCTCTTCTTGGCTGACCTGAAATGTTCTGTGTAGACCAGGCTAGCCCATCTGCCTTCTAAATGCTGGTAATAAAGATACGTGCCACCAACCTAGAACTTTTGATCCTCCTGCCTCCCCAGTAGCTGGAATTATAGGCTGGGTTGCAGCATTCCCTTGTAATCACATCTTCTCTACTCTTGAAGTAAATAGCAGGAGTTACAACTTTGTCCAACTCTCCTTTGTTTTTATTTTTGAGATAGGTGGCTGGCCCAGAACTCACAGAGTGCTGGGATTAAAGGCATGCCCTGTCATGCTGGGTTTAACCAGGGTGATGGGGCCCTTGATCAGCTCACTTTGGAAGTACGCAGAACCAGGCTGTCCCATCTGACTCTACTACCTCTTCTTGGCATTTGACAGACACCAAAGTCAGACCCCAAGAGTCAGGTGAGGCTGGCTAGGGTTGTTGCGTTGCATTTATTTTCTCTGCTAATTAAAGAATTAAAAGGCACCGATTGGGGGTGGTGGCGCACGCCTTTAATCCCAACACTTGAGAGGCAGAGGCAGGCGGATCTCTGTGAGTTTAAGGCCTGTCTGGTCTACAGATCTACGAATTCCAAGACAGGCTCTGAAGCTATAGAGAAACCAAGTCTCGATAAAAAAAACAAAAACAAAACAAAAAACAGAATGTAAGAGGCCAGGCAGGAGGAGCTCTAGGTTTGAAGCCAGCCTGGTCCCAGGAATTGAGCGCCAGACTACATAGAGAGGCCCTGTTTTTTAAAAAAGAAGGGACACCAACATAATCTCAAGGACAAAGAGTATCCTCAAATAGGGCTTTGAGAATTTACTAGCCTTTAAAAGAAAAACCCTAGGGTAGGCAAGCTGTAAATCTAATCTGCCTGGGAGGAAGGAAGAACAAAAAGCCTTGCTGTTGTAGATGAGGCCGATAAGGAGGCCAGCCACCTAGCTGTAGGCATCTGTAGAGGGAGGTTGCCCAGGCCTTTACTCCCTGAATTCCACAGGCTGACACCCATGTTCAAACCAGCCTGGTCTACACAGCAAATTCTAGTGCAGCCAAGGCTACATAGATTCTGTCTCAAATAAAAAAGTTGAAAAAGAACAAGAAACCCAACACATTAGTTGAGTTTTAGAAACATACTTAATCCCTGGCCAGAGTCTGAAAGAAAACATCACTCCCCACCCCTCAAAGTGAGGACTCAGAAAGACTGGCAGACCCATCCTAAATTTACAGTGGCTTGACTGCACTAGGGGACAGAGATTCTAAAAAGAAAAAAATGCACTTTATTGTAAGGTGAATCCTAACTACTAGGGCTGGTTCCTAGCCAGGTCCCTGACATAGGATTAACCAGGGGCATGTCTCTACTTAGAGGCAGAGTCCATTTACACAGGGATTGAACTTGAATGGGATCCTAGCCCTAGACACCAGGTGTTGCCTGGTCTCTCAAGCTTGTAGGCCTGACTGGGGGGTATTGGGTATCGAGCGTCTTTGGGTATATGTTGAACTTGAACCTGTGCTGACTGGTTGTTTGGGACCCTAGCCCCAGCGGGCATTGATTGGTAACTTGTTTTCCTAAAGCAGTGAGACCCAGAATAACTGGGTGCCGATCAGGTGCCTCCACAGGGTTGGAAAGCATAGATGAGGCCCAGGGCTGACCGTGGACATGGACAGTACTCATCAACCTCTCCTGCTCACATACAGAAAAAAGGTTCAGTCTCTCAAATGTGGAGGCCTCAGAGAGGGTTAGCGACCACCCCTACTTAAAACAAGTGGCCTGGGGGGCTGGGCGTGGTCGCAGAGGCCCAATCAGGAAGGGACAGCGGTGGGAGTGGCCAGGGCGAGCCTAGAGAGGCCGAGGAACTCTCAAGAGAATGGTGTAGGGGTGTAGGAGGCTGCTAGGCAATCGGGTGTCACGCAGCCACCGGAGTTCCGTGCGTCGCCCTGGCGGAAGTGACGCAACGTTGCCTGGCGGCTGTTGCTAGGCGCCGTGATGCGTGTCTTGCGTAGGACGGCGTCAGCTGAGGCGGGAAGCGCGAGCTGTAGCGCCATGGCCGGAGGTAGCTGTGCGCACCTGGAGCGCTGTCGTCGGGTCTCGCGTCCCGGGAATGCCCGGTCCGAGGTGCCCCCTGCGTCACTGACTATTCCTGGCGCGGAAGCCTGTCCCGCAAGAGGAGGGGGAGGGTCACGGCGCGCCGCCCAAGGCCGGTGCTCTGGCGGCGTCCCTTCTCCAGCAGCTTGGCAGCATCCCTTCCTCAACTTATTCAGACACTTCAGGGTGGATGAGTGGAAACGGTCCAGCAAAGAGGGAGATGTGGCCGTGGTGACGGTACTGGCCGGGGCCTTCCTGCTCCTCAGAAATCTTCTGGTGGGCACTCCTAGTATCTTCCAGCTTTGCGCTGTTCGCAGCTCCTCTCTCTTTGCAGGACAAGGTCCTGAAGAGCGCCGTGTATCGCATCCGTGGGTCTGTCTCTGCTAGCAACTACATCCAGCTCCCTAGAACTAGCACCCAGTCTCTGGGGCTGACTGGGCGGTACCTGTATGTGCTTTTCCGGCCCCTGCCTACCAAGCACTTTGTCATCCACCTGGACGTGTCCACCGAGGTGCTCAGATTGGAAGAAGGGCTGTGTGTTTGTTGAGGCTTATTCTCCTGTAATCTCCTTCTAATGGCCTCGCTCTGCCTCACAGGACGGCCAGGTCATCCGTGTGTCTTTCTCCAGCCTCTTTAAGGAGTTCAAGTCCTCTGCTACATGGCTTCAGTTCCCCTTTGTCTTCGAGAGTAAGACGCCCAGAAGAGGTAGTGACACCTGGTTCAGGAGGGACAGCTTGAAGGCCTAGCATGGGATGGTACAGGCCCAGCTGGGCTTGTGTGTGGCCCGGGGGACGGCTGGGGTCTGGCTGAGAGGGTTGCAACTGTGGAAATGGGGAAATAAAATGGTAGGTGCTGACTGCACCTATTATGCAGACCTGGCAGGTATAGCTCCTTCTAATGCCCGCTGGACCTGCCTGCAACTGGACCTTCGTGACATTCTGATACTCTACCTGAGCCAGCGCTATGGCCACCTCAAGAGCATCAGGCTCTGTGCCAGCCTACTCGTCAGAAACCTCTACACCAGTGATCTGTGCTTTGACCCCGGTAAGGTCCACACTTCATGTCCCATCCTAATCAGAAGACTGGAACCCTCTGTTGGCAGATGAGAGCCATGCACCAGTGCCCCCAGTTCTAGAAAAAGCAATGGGGTGGGCTGGTATTCCAGCAATACACTGACAGATGCTTGATATTGCATCTTGTCTGGGATAGGAAGAGACAGGACAAACTCCCCTTGATCTAGAACAACCCTGATCATTGTAGCTGTCACTGTCACTGAGGCCCGGTGTGTAAAGTCGCCTGTCAACCCTGTGCCTCGAGAAATGGCCTTCCCAGTGCCAAAAGGGGAGAGATGGCATGACCATTACATCCACGTTCGGTGAGCAGTTCTGAACCTCTGGTGGAGAGGGGCCAGGTGTCCTTCAGCCCTAGATACTAATTTTGCCTCTGCCTGTGTTTGCCACCCATGAGATTTCCAAGTTATGACCCAAGAGCACCTTATGAGCAGGCTGAAAAGAACTGCACCTCTCCAGAGGCAGGTAGGCGTGTGGCACTACATGGTGCATAGGGCTTGGTGGGAAAAGGATTGGGGGTCTTGAGAGGGGTTCAGGAGTGTGGAGACCGTAGCTGGTGTGTGCCTGGGGCAGCCTAGAGATAGGTGCAGAGAAGGGCCTAGCTGGTGGCCATCTGAGATTCTAGAACCACATTTAAGGTCTGTGCAAATGGCATCTGACCCCCAAGCTTTCCAGTTGGGAGGGGAGCTGCAGGGCCTGGGGCAGAATGATGGCAGTGTTTGTTGTGTGGTGTCTGTAGAGTGGGTGAGGGGAGCTACCTCTGCTGGTGCCTTGCTACTCCATTCTGGCTCTTCGCTCTGTTGTAATCTTCCTAGGGCATGTGTCACAGCGCCTGCCTCATTCAGCAGTCTTTGGCAAACCTTTGCTGAGCAATAGGTCCTCTGTGGCCCAGATATCTAGTCCCGTATTGGTGAGTGCACTTGGAAAAGGGCTCAGGATTGGTGGCCCTAGGGTGCTGATGATGCATGCTCTGCTACAGCCCTGCAGGGTCCCCTCAGCACCCAGACTCCTTCCAGAAGTCAGCCTGACCTACAAGCATCCAGAGGTCTCCAGCATAGGTGCCACCAGCATCCCTGGCCAACACCCTTCAGCCTGGAATGAGGCCACTGATGCACACACAGTGGTCAGTGGTAGACATGCACTTGCTGACAAATCATCTGGGGTGCCCATGGCCCTCGAGGACCTTGGCTCCTGTAAGGTGAGTGTCCATCTGAAGGCATTTGGGTGTTAGTGAGATGAGGACCCTGAACTGCATTCACAGTGAATGGGCTTCTAATTCTCCTTGCTTTGAGCAAGAGACCTTGCTGATGAATAAAGCGGGGCTTGTTCCTGTCGCCAACTCGAAGGGTCACCCAGATAGTCAAGGAACAGGACATGCGTTTTTAGAGGCTTTACCACTGCAGACAGAAGATTCCTGCTAACAGGAGCCTGCCCCCACTCTCCCACCTTCCACCCCGTACCCAAACTTTTCCTTGAGAGGTAGCACAGGTGGGGCATTTGCAGGGGATGGAGTGACTTCCTCAAATCTCATTTTTGCATTCTCCTATTGCAGCTTTTCCTCCCAGACCCAGTCCTGAGGCTCAAGGGAGTCATCGGTTTTGGGGGTCACAGCACCCAATGGGTGAGGCTTTGAGTCACTTTGAGAA